ACAGGGTCTGCTCACCGCCAGAGACTCCAGTGCTGACTGCTTGGAATAGATGCGAAACCTGCAGGGAGGGAAAGCAGCTGTGAGCTGGGACAGAGGGGACTGTCCCTACAGCCCTGCTGGGATCCCAGTGTGGGCCATACCGTCGCAGATCCAGCTGCACGCGTAGTGCCTTCCCTTGCAGGTACACCTTGGCGCTCAGCTTTGATTCCTATGGGAAGAGTGAGCTGCGTGGAAACCCTGCTGCAGCCAGCATGGGCAGGCAGTGGGACAGCCTGGGTGCTGCTCCCAGCTTTAGGACATCAGAGACTTCTCAGGCAGGGTGCAGTGCTCCTGCCCTATGTGCTTGGGCAGGCAAAGGAAACCTGGCTGCAGCAGCACTCACCATGGCCATGCTGGAAAGCTGGATGGCAGGGCGGTCTGCGGGTACCAGCGAGATGTTGAGGAAGGCAGAGACAGAGATGGAGGTCCCCGAGGGTTTGATCACACAGCGGGGGGGAGCTGACACCTGAAGCACCAGCCGCAAGGGAGCATCCACCACAGCAGGGTTCTGGGGAGAGAACAGTGGAGCCAGTCTGGGCAGAGCTGCTCCATCCTAGGGGGGACTCTTGTACCTCTCCTGCCCCAGTGGAAAGCTCCTCTCACCAGCATGAAGATGGTCCCAAAGAAGGTGGCTCTCAGCAGAACCTCCAAGTCCTTGGGCACCTGCAGGGGGGACAAACCTTAGGGGTAACAGAGCTCGCACTGCTGCCCCCTGCAGAGCTTCTGTCCATGCAGCACATCCTGAAATCGGTGTGTAGAGCCCACCCTGCCTCCCCCAGGCAGCACTCCTTCTCCACTCAGGTCTGCGTGCAGTGTCAAACTGTGCTGCTCACCTTCTCCCCTTCAAGCTCTATGGCCAGCACACCCGCCTGGAAGTATGCGTGCATGGCTGAATCAAAGAAGTACTCAGAGAAGGCAACATAAACCATGCGTTCAGTCTCCTTGATCACAGGCTCCACCGCGTGGTTCTCCAGCTCCTGGTCCTCCCTTGCACGGTAGAAGAACATGCCCTGGGCCGAGAATAGCGACTGTTTCTGCAGCTGCAGCACAGCTTGCTGTGCTCACTGCATGCATTGATGCAGAGCTGTGCCAACAGGACTGGGAGAGGCAGGGCAGGATTTGGTGCCACACCTTGAAGTCCAGGTCGAGGGTTTCTGGGGAGACAGCTGGATCACGTAGCAGAGAGTAGTCAATCCCAATGTGCTCATCCACGTAGTTCCTTACTGCCAAGGAAGAGGTGCTGTGAGAAAGCCTACAGCATGGCCTGCAGTCCTTTTCTCAGCTCTGCATAGGCTGCAGTGAGCAGGGTCTGGTCTTATCCTGTTTACCTGGCACTGTGTCTAGCAAGGAGTTCAACAGCACCAGACTGGCATGCTCCAGGGACGGGCAGATCTGTGGGGAATCACTCAGCAGTGGGGCCAGAACTTCTGGCCTGGAGGAGGACCCAGGCTGCCTCCAGCATCCCTGAGTCAGCTCCTCCTGACTGCAGCCAGGGAAGCTCTATGCCCGTCTCTGCTCACAGCCCTACCTGCTGGCTGAGGAGGAAGCGCATCCCTGTGACAATGAAGGTGCTCAGGAACTCATAGACCTTCCTGCAGGACAGAACAGCTTTGCAGTAGCCTTCCAGCCCTGTCCCTCCACCTCTATTCCCACAAAAACACAAGGCGTGACCTGAGCAGATCTTGCCTGGCACAGGGGTATGGCTGCCACCATGGCATCAGGTGTACCTGAGTGTGCCAGAGAATCCCGCATGCATTCTGGCAATGGAGGCATTGCAGGACATGTTGGAAATCTTGAGGCGTCCAACCTCATCCTTGGCCAGCTGCAGCACAGTATGGATGTGGACACCATCAGCAGAAGCATTGATGGATCCAATGTCGTAGCTGGAAGCCAGGGGAACAGATGGGAGGACACAGATCCTATCAGCTCCAGGACTGGGCAGCATGGCACTTCACTCCTGGGGCCGTGGGACAGGCTGGTGGGCAGGGGAGGGTAACTCACAAGAACCAGTAGAGCAGCTGCCGCCTGAAGCGCAGGCTGATGGAAGCATTGTTGATGTTAAAGGCGAGGTGCTGCTGTGGCTGGAAGTGCAGGTTGGAAAATGGCAGCTGCAGGTCCATCACCTTGACCCTGCCAGGGAGGGGACGGTAAGGCTGACCCAGGGGCTGCTGCGTGCAAGGAGCAGGCAGCACTCACTGGCTGATGTTGTAGTGGAACTGGCCCTCCTTCCCGTGCAGGTCTGACACTGTGATGTTCTCCAGCTCCTGCTCCACAAAGCGCAGACCCTCATGCTTCACTGCAATGCAAAATGAGCCTGGACTGCCCACGGCAGGCTGTATCGCACTCTACCAACATAGCCCACCCTGCCGGTCCTGCCGTGCAAGCTGGCTCTCCGCCCTGCCTGGGAGCAGGGTCCTGGCCAGCCCCTTACCGAGGTCCAGCCCCTTGGAGGTAATCCGGATCTTGCAACCGGGAGGGCTGTGCGAGGCTGCGGCCAGCCAGGGCAGCAGGAGCAGGGGGAGGAGGTGGCTGCTGGCAGCCATCTCGCACCTGGGGGCAGAGCGCGGGGTCAGTATGGACCGAGCTAGCAGAGCACACGGGGGAAGCCCAGCCACCCTGGCAGGGTTGCGGCTGCTGCCCAACCTGCTCTCAGCACAGGAGCCTGGGCAGAGGCTGATCTCAAGGAGAGGACCATCTCATGACCCTGCTGCACCCCACAACCTGAAATCCCACAACAGTATCCTGGTTCCCATCGCCTGAGTGGGCAAGCCCCCAGCACAGACTCCGTGGGCTTGCAGGATCAGCCCCGCCCGGGGGCAGCCACTGCCCTCAGTACCAGCAGCATCCCGCCCTTCCCCAGCACAGCCAGCTCCCCAGATTGCAGGGTGAGGTGAGCCTCATGGGGAACCCCAACACCACACAGGGAAGGGATTCCTCTCCCGTGGGCTCTCCAGCCCTGGAAGCAGCCCCAAGTGCTCCCCAAGGATGAGCACTGCCTGTCCGTGTCCCATGCCCTGCAGCTGGGCTGGGACAGAGCCAGAGATTCCTCATCCAGCAGGAAAAGGCAGAATTGCCTTCGGGATGGCAGGGACAGCACAAGGCTTCCCCACCGTGTTTCTGCTCAGTTCTCTGCAGGGGAGAGGACAGAACCCCTTCTGCTCGTGATCCAGAGCCTCCATCCTTCCCGGAGGGCCACACACAGACTGGGGCAGCTTGCCTACACAATGCTGGCTAAGTTTGTATACTTACAGTATGACTTGTCTTCGGCTCCTCTGGTCTGGGGAAACTGAATCACGTGAAGGGAGGGAGGGAGAACACCAACAGCTCCAGGAGTTTCTTCTGAGCTGGCTCAGGCTCCCCTGCGTTTATATATCCCACCAGCCACCACCCCTTGTGAGCCCACAGCTGGGAGGAGACACAGCAGACAGGAGGATGAAGGGCTCGGGGAAGCCAGCCGCGCAGCGCAGGGTGGCTTCATCATTTCGGGGAAGTGCCGACCACCAGTCCTGATGGTGCTAAACTCCCCACCGTGCTCTGCCAGCTGCAGCACTGCCCAGTGGGCTCTGTGCCATGGCTGCAGCTGAACACAAGTCCCTTGGGCCACAGGTACAACGGGAGCTGCTTTGTGCCCATCTATGAGGTGAGCATCAGACAGGGAAGCTGCTTTGATTGCTGGAACCACAGAGCCACTCCAACAGCCTGGCACATATCAGGGTCTCCAGGGCTCACGGCCACCAGGGCTCATCCCCACCCTGCTCCCAGCAGCTGAGCAGACACAGATGTGCTCAGCTCTGTGAGAGGCGCTGAAGAAGCGATCCAGCGTGCCCACATTCCCTTCTGATCCAGCAAGCGCCCATCGCCAAGAGGCCAGGATGGGTGGCACTGCCAGCATTGCGCAGCACAGTGGCACCGCTCAGCCCAGGAGAGACCAAGCGCTGCCCACGCTGTGCTGCAAGCCCCTCTGCATTCCAGAGGACAAGGCTTTATGCTTTCCACCCGTGGAATCTCGGACAAATCCGGCTGAGCCCCTTCCTCCCCCCTCCTCCAAGCGCCTGCAGAACAGAGTCGGTCTGAGCCAGCACTTTGTGGTCGGGGCGATTATCTGCACACAGAGCCGGGCTGTGGGGGCTCACGCTCTGGAAACAGAGAGACTTAGGAGACTGGGTGCTTACACAGCACTTATCCCTTCCAAACTGCTTTGCCAGCATTAACTAATTACACTGACCCCAGTGCTCCGGGTGCAGAGGGCAGGCCTCCAGCGGGAGCGGGCGGCTGCCGGGCAGGAGGGAAGCCCTGCGAGCCCACGGCGGGCAGGGGAGGCAAAGGGCGGGGCGGGTGGGGAGAATCACCCCACGTCGGAAGGTGTCGCGCCGCGCCTTCCCGGCAGCCACAGCCGCCAGGCGAGGCCGCAGCCCCAGGCTCCTGGCTGCGCGCCCGCGGCCCCGCCCGGCCCCGCCCGGCCCGGCCCAGCGCCGCGCCCCGCGGCCACACGCGGCGGAGCCGCACCGCTAAGTGCAGGGCGGGCGGCGCTGCGGACGGACGGAACCCGGCGGGCGGCCGCGGCTCGCCGCCAGCGCCGGCAGTGGGCCCCGCCCTGGGCCGCGCCGCTCTTCAAAGCCGCTCCGCCGGCGGCCTCGCCCTGCCCGACGGGAACCGCCCGCGGCGGGCGGACGTGGCCGCGAGGCCGGGCCCGGCCCGGCCCTGCCCATAGCGGGGCGGTGCCGGCGCACCACACTCAAGATGGCGCCGGGGCAGACGGCGTTGTCGCAGCGCGCGCGCACGCGCCGCTCCGTCTACAAAAGCGCGGGCCGCGCTCCGCGCAAGCGCACCGCCCGTGCGCCTGGGCGCGGAGGGCAGCGCGCATGCGCGAGCGGGCGTCCCGACGGCGGCGCCTGCGCATTGCCTAGGGCGGGGCGGCCCGCGCCTGCGCGCTGCCGGCCCGCGGTCCCGGCGCAAGATGGCGGCGGCGGGGCGGGCGAGGCGGAGGTGGGGCGGCGGCGGGAAGCGCGACGGTGCGCGGTGCCCACAGCCCCCGGCCTCACGCCCAGGTAAGCGGCGCTCCCGCGCGGCCGGGGGTCTCCGCGCCGGAGAGGGAGGCCGGCGGGCGGGCGGCGCGGCGGCGGGTCGGGGCGAAGCGGCGTAGGCCCGCGGCCGCCATCTTAGAGCGCGCCGGCCGCCGCGCTCAACCCGCGCCGCTCCGCGCGTGCCACCGCCGCCGCTCCCGCGCGGCCCTCCCCGGTAACGGCTCCTGTCTCCGCAGCGGCCCCCGCGGGCACGGCGCGGGACGCCCCGCTATGAGGATGCGGCCCCGGCGCGCCAGCGGCGAGCACCGAGCGACGGCCCCGCGTCCCGCCCGGCAGCAGCGCGCCCCCGTAAGTACCGCCCCCGGCGGCCGCGCCCCGCACCACTCCGGGCCGCCCGCACAGCCGCCGCCGCCGCTGCTCTCCGCGCTCGCTCGGTCCCGGTCCTCCGCGCCAGGAGCTCCGCCCCGCAGCACCGCACGCCGTCCGGCCGCGCTCCCCGCGCGCTGCGGGCGGCCCCGGGAGCTCCGTGCGCTGCGCGGCCCCGACCCGAGGGCGGCTGACGGGGGAAGGCGGTGCTGAGGGAAAAAAACCCCCCCGTGTCCCTGGGGGCTGCCGCTGCTCCCTTTTGTCCGCGTTTGCCGCTGTCCCGTGTGAAATCCCGCCTTGACAGACGCTGGCTGTGCTGCGCTCCGTGTCCGTTGCCGCCTGGCTGCGCTCTGTTCGTGCTGCTGCTCCTATAGGCTGTGAGCTCTCTGGGCAGGGACGGCATTCTGTGTCTGCGAAGCGCTGTGTGCGTCGTGTGGTGTGTAAAGCGATACCGTAATCACTGTAAAACCGTTGCTCTGGGTCCCTTTCGCTGTCTGAGTCACGACGCCAGGCACATAAAGATGGAGTTCCTTCTGTCAGGATTCCTGCTAGTTTGTTTCTTTTCTTTTGGCGGAGTTGAAGGTTGCTGGGATTTGGTACTCACCCAAACTGATAAAGCGATAGAGCTGCTTGTGTACTTCCCCCTTCCTAGTTTATCCGTAAACTGGAGAGATGAAAAACAAGAAGCCCCATCTGACCACTGGTTGGAGCTGTCAGTGGTAAGAGGTGCTGGGAGCTGCTGCCCATCTGACACCTGGTGCCAGCTGTGATTATTAAAATCCATGTGTGGCTCTCCCTGGGAGGTCTGCTCCCATCCTTGTGTAACAGTTACAGTGTTGTCTGTGTAACCTGCATGACACACCAGCAAATGCAGGTAAACTTTCCCTTTTTAAGAAGAGGAGGCTGAACATTTTTAGAAAGTTCCTGCCAGATGAAATACTGATGAGGTTCCTGATGCACAGCCCATGGCCTCAGCTCAGCTTTCTGGCAGAGAATGCCTGTCCTGAGGTGCTGCTCAGGTGGCAGCTGCCTGGAGTGTGACTGCAGAGGTCACAGCAGGGCTGGAGTTCAGGAGGAAGTGTCAGTAAACAAATATTACACAACACTCAATGCTGGGGTGATTAAATGTACAGATTGCATTGGTGCAGTCTTTGTAGCAGGTGCTTTTGCCTGTGGGTGTGGATGTTGTTATCTCTGTAGCTATGAGCAGAAGCCATAAACTCCAGGTTTCTGCAGTACCCTGCACTTTTCCATGCTTACCTCGAGGGAAGGATGGAAACATCTTCCCAGGAGTTGGCAGGAGCAGGTGTTCCTCAGTCCTGCCCTGCATCACACCGATTCACTGTCAGTGCTGCAGACAGCCTGGCAAGAACCTACCTGCTCATTCTTGAACTCAGCTCTCACCATTCTCTTCTTTTGAAAAGCCTGGTGATGTTTTTATGGACAGGATGGGGAGTTCAAATCAGTTAAAAACACACTTAATACAGGATTGTACGTACACAACAGCATTGCATGCATGCAGCTCTCACGTTGCATAGGGCATCTCCAAAGGCCTGAATAGAGTTAAATAACGGAGGTAGACAGTAATTATTTAAAACGCCTCATTTCCCCCAGATTGGTTGCAGCAGTCTGTAGTAATTGGCTCAACAGTGCTATATTCAGAAACTTCCCTGGGGGAAGAAGAATGAATGAGAGGAAAAACCTGGCTGTTCTTCTGCAGCTGACAATATTAAATGATGATTAAGAGGAGCGTTACATTTTGAACAGACTTTCTTTTGCATAACTGTTGTTATGTAAATGCAAAAATACTGAAGGCTTAAACAGCCTGACAGTCCTGACAGTTAGTCCATGTCTGGAACAATTCCATAGTTACTCATTCCTAGCCTGTGGTCCTTTGAGCCACCAAAGCTGTTATTAGTGAAGCAGCGGGGCTATTTTGTATAGCAGAAGTTTTTTAATACCTGCTTTTTGTTTAAATTGCATATGGTTATATGTGTGTAAATACTAATTTAAACTGACACCAGGGATAGCAGACCAGATATGGCCCATAATGTTAGTATGGTAGGGGATGGTAAATGTTCACAGTGAAGCATACTTTGTTTCTTGTGCTCTCAGCACTGCTGTGTGGGATGAGACACTGCAGTCCTAGGAGAGAGAGATGTAGCTGAAAAGTGAGTATTTTGAGTGCTGGCCATAAGAACTCCCTGATGTTCAGAGCTAGTTGTATCTGGGATAACTGGTATTTTTCAGTACTTAGGTCTTATTTTGTATGTACTGGTTCAAGCCCATTTTATTGCCAGTTAACTTTTACTCTGAATGGGCCAAGTGGCTCTGGGATCTTTCCTGTTGTGACATGGATATTTTGTTTGATTTTCCCAGTGTGGTTGCTGAGAAATGGCCAATGAGAATCACGGAAGCCCTGCGGAGGAAGCATCTCTAATGAGTCACTCACCTGGCACCTCCAACCAGAACCAGCCCAGCTCCCCCAAACCTATGCGACTGGTACAGGACCTCCCAGGTACTGATTGCTTCTGAGAAAGCCCACCACAGGGTTCTGAAGGGCCCCAGTAGCAGGGAAGGGAAGGTGGAATGGGGCTATTGAGAGAGTTCAGGAACGATGCTTGCTGCAGTGTGCAGTGATGGTAATGGGGACCTGAATGGTGGAGCTTTCCAGTACCGATCTTATCCTGACTCTCTGCTCTGTGTGCTCAGATGAGCTGGTGCAGGCTGGCTGGGAGAAGTGCTGGAGCAAGAGGGAGAATCGCCCGTATTACTTCAATCGCTTCACCAATCAGTCCCTGTGGGAAATGCCTGTTCTGGGACAGCATGATGTCATTGTAAGTAAGCACGTATCTCAAGGGGCTGTGCTAACATTGGGATGTTCTTCTGGGACACGACATTGCCTGTGTGAGAGGGTCTTCTGTATCTGCAGAACTCCTCTCCCCATCCAGTGTGTGGCTGGGATCTGGTGAAACACAATGAAGTGTTCCTCATTCAGGTGCACTGCTTAAACAAACTTGCCATGGGGGAGCTGTGTTGCATTTTTCTTGTTTAAGTCTCAAACTAACAGACCAAATAAATGGTTCAGACACAAGTCTAGAAGATAAGTTTTTAGCTTAGGTGTATTAGTGTTATTACTTTTGTCCACTTGGGAGCTGGGGATGGTGCAAAGGAAAATTGAAAGGACTTATTGCCTTTGGTACTCTGCAGTAGCAGCTGATGAACTAATGAGTACTGTTGTTTGGATGCTCTTAGTCAGACCCTCTGGGATTGAATGCAGCTCCTATGCCACTGGAAAGTGGAATGGTAGAGACCTCAGTGGAGAGCAAGCAGAGGAAGAGGAGATTCTCTGAGGAGGTTCCCCCAAGTGGCAACAGTGTGAAAAAGCCCAAGGTGAGTTGAGAGTGTTAGAATAGGCTTAAAGATGTTGTCAAAATTGAAACCTAGAGAGTCCAGAGCTTGGACCTATTTTTTTTTTTTTTTTAAACTGTGCAAGATCAGTTGAAACAGCTCAAGTTCTGACAGCTCACACCAAAAATACAAAGGTGGAAGCATGCTCACATCCTGCCGATTTGCCATTTCTCTTACAGCCTTAAGATCACGAGAACTGAGAGAGAACAAATTATGATAGAAACGTGGTAGCTCACGTGTCCACTTAAATGCAGACAAAACATGCTGTAGTGATTGAGTGGTTATCCTAAGTGAAGCTCTGGTAGAGGGCTGTTAGGTATACTGTGATTCCTCCGTTCTACCTTTCTCTGTGAGGGCAGTAATTCATCTTTTACTCTCCCAGTCGGATATTCCGGGGACCCCAGCCACTCAGCCAGTCCCCAGCTCTCCCAGTATTCCAGGATCCTCTGTTTTGAAGGCGTGGTGTGTTTCACCTGAAGATAAGCAGCAGGCAGCTCTTCTACGGCCAACTGAGTGAGTTGTATCCACTTATTTCTGTTCCTGGGGGGATAGGGTAGAGACAGCTGGTTTTCCAAGTGTCTTTGAAGAATAACCTGAGGACATAACAGGCTCATCTGTCTTTGCAAGCAGTCTTTGATAGTTCAATTTTTTTGGCTGGTAAAACAGCCCCAGGAAACATCTTTAAAAGTAATATCCAATAATTAGCCAATGATCCCATCATCCTGATCACACTTCTTTCTGTCATAGAGTATACTGGGACCTGGATATTCAGACAAATGCAGTGATTAAGCAGAGGGCACCATCTGAAGTGCTTTCTCCACACCCTGAAGTGGAGCTGCTTCGATCCCAGCTCATTCTCAAATTGCGGCAACATTATCGTGAGCTCTGCCAGCAGAGAGAAGGTAAGTTGCTCTTGTGCTCCCCTTTTTGTGTTCTCAGTCCTGCATTACTGCACTGTTCTTCCTTCTGGTTCTTGTCTCTCCTCCCTGTGGTTTCTTTATTTGATAATTGTATTCTCATTAAGCTGACCTCCAATGTGAGGATTCTTGTCAGAGCTTCTGGACGTCTCTTTGTCGTACAATTTCACCCTTTTTTTGTGCCTCTCCAGGGATTGACCCCCCAAGGGAGTCTTTTAACCGCTGGATGTTGGAGAGGAAGGTGGTAGATAAAGGGACAGATCCTCTTTTACCAAGTGACTGCGAGCCAGTAGTGTCTCCTTCCATGTTCAGAGAAATCATGAATGACATTCCCATCAGGTACTGTTGAAAAACAGGACAAATTTTAGAGTTGTTTTTGTCTTGGGCTAGTCCAGTGATTTACCTTCTTTAGTTTTCTGCTTTTGTGTTTTACTTTTGCTGATAAAATGGTGAGGTGCTGGTGGTGTAAAATTTTGGGAACTGGACCTGGCCTTTGTGGCAGCTGTGAAACTGATGTGTGTGAATTTATACTTACCTCAGGCTATCCAGAATTAAGTTCCGTGAAGAAGCCAAGAGACTGCTCTTCAAGTATGCTGAGGCTGCAAAACGGCTCATTGAATCCAGGTAGGGGTTCCTTTTGCGGTGCTGCCAGTTTCAGAAATGAGAAGGAGTTTATGGCAACTTTTAAGAGGAGCTGTCATATCACTCTTTATTCACTATTGGTCATCTTCTTACTGAGCAAGAGCAAAGTTAGGAACACATAAGGGAAAAACAGTTCTGGAGCTGTCTTTTGATGGTAATGTTATAGTGAAATCAAACATTGGGAAGTTGAATGCATGCAGAGACAAGCAAGAATCTGAAATACTGAATATAGAATTCCTTTATAGTTTATCCCTCAGATAATAGAAGAGTGCTTGGACACTCACTAATATTAAAGAAGAACAAACTTAAAATGATATTTTATTACACCACATGTATTTTTTCTGAAGAGCTCTGTCAGAATTCAGGAAGGTAGTCTTGTGGGGGGAAAAAAAATGAAGCTTGTTAACAAGGTAGTTTTCTCAGGGTTGCAATGTCCTGGCAATGGCTGCATTTGATAATGGGAGGCAAGATCAAAATGAGCCATTCTCCTAATAGATAAATCCTTCATCTGCTTTTCCTGTCACAGGAGAGGACAGCAGACAGTTACACTGTGTTTTGGCGAGAGCATGGCAGTCTCATGTCATTAAAATGTCTGGAAGCACTTTGCACAGGATGCCTGGAGGGGAGTGACAGCTAGGGCCGTGAGGTGTCAGCACTGTTCCCCCACTAACAAAAAACTGTTGTGGTGGTATGGAATATATTGCCCTGCAGCTGTGGGTTTAATCCCACTTGCCTGTTTTGTGCAGGAGTGCATCACCAGACAGCAGGAAGGTGGTGAAATGGAATGTGGAGGACACCTTCAGCTGGCTGCGACGGGACCATTCTGCTTCTAAGGAGGACTACATGGTCAGTTGTGCAGCTGAGTGCAGTGGGGCTGTGAAAGGATGGGGTGTTCAGGGCCGGATAAAGATCCTTCCTGAAAAGGCTGTGATTGCATTTCCTCTGCTTTGTGAAATGGAAGCAACAAAGGTTCAGAGACTCTGCACAGCTCTGGGGGTCAGGTGTGGGCTGTGTAAGGGACTCTGGTTCTCTGATTCTGCAGGACCGCCTGGAGCACCTACGCAAGCAGTGTGGGCCCCACGTGTCTGCTGCAGCAAAGGACTCTGTTGAAGGCATCTGCAGTAAGATTTACTACATATCCCTTGAATATGTCAAGCGGATCCGGGAGAAGCATCTTGCCATCCTCAAAGAAAACAATATATCTGGTACAGTTAACCTTTTCCTTCTTCCTTGGTCTCTGCTTCTTTCATCGCTACCATTCTTTAGCCCTTTTCCCTATGGATCCTAGCTCTCCTCAGACATTCTCCCTCCAGATTCCAGTGTCTGCCTTTTGCTGCTTGTTTTTGCTGCTCGTGTTCACACCCAGTGATGTGTTCATGATTCCTTCTGGCTGGTCTTTAATTTTAGCTCTCTTTTTCTTCTGCCTAAGCTGAGGGTAAGGTTCTGTCCAAGATAGGTGACCACAAGGTGGCAGAAAGGTTCCTTTGCCTCCTGCATTTAACAGCCTGGGAGTATTAGCTGGCTTTTGAATAACTTTGGAGCAAACTGAAATAACAGTGACAACAAGGAAATTGTTTTACTCACCCAGAACATGCCTTATGGTATTGGAATGGTTGCATGAAGTCTACAGGTTGACTGTGTTACAGATGAAGAAGTGCTGTGCTATGGTTCCTCTCCGTGCTCTGTCTGTGGGTGATGGAATTTTGGGAATTAGTTCTGAACTTACGTAGCTGCCTACATGATCTGTGAAGGACCACCCCTATGGTTTGGAGAGATTACTTTGCTCTTCAGCCTTATTCCTGTCCGTGCATGTTCTGAGGTGGAAGGAAGATCTATCCCAGATGTCCCTGGATTCTAATGGGCTGCCTTGCTCTTTATTCTCCATAGCTGAGGTAGAAGCTCCTGAAGTCCAGGACAGGCTCGTGTACTGTTACCCAGTGAGACTGGCCATCCCCTCCCCACCACTCCCCAGTGTGGAAATGCACATGGAAAACAATGTGGCATGTGTGCGGTACAAGGGGGAAATGGTGAAAGTGAGCCGCAACTACTTCAGCAAGCTGGTAAGAGCTGACTGCCATGCCTGCATGACTGCTGTTGCCAATTGCTCTTTCATGAGAGCTTTCATTTCTCCTTTTCCTCCAAGAAGGGACTGTGCAGTTGGACAGAGCACTGACCTGGTAGAGGCTGTCTGGTGTTGCCCTAATAGTAGCACAAATGAGGACAGCTTCATTTTCCTTAGTCAGGGTCAGCCTTCTGCTGGGAGTACTTAGGAGGTGTTGCGTGTATGCTTTGGTACATGCTGTGCTGCAAGAATGGTTGTACTCACAACAAGGCAGCCCTTGCTGAGAGAGACTTGCTGATGTGTTACATTCATTCATGCTAGTGAATAGCTTGCAGTTCATTCCCACAGTAAGAGCAGATGAGCTGAAAAGCCTTCATGCAGAACCCTGCCTGCTCCTTTTCTTCATCGGTGTTTCTTCTCATGTCATGATATGTTTGTTTTCTGGCTGCCTTACCTTTGTTGATACTGTTTGTTTTTAATGGCTGGGCCTTCTCTTCTAGTGGCTTCTCTATCGGTACAGTTGCATTGATGACTCTGGCTTTGAAAAGTTCCTACCCAGGGTTTGGTGCCTTCTCCGTCGATACCAGGTACTGTCTCATTGCTGTTGTTGTGCATCAGAAAGCCTGGGGAACTGAACTTACTGTCATTGCTCTGGGAGGTCCACAGCTCTCAGAGCCTGGTGCAGAATAGGGCTTAAACTGAATCAGTGGTGGGGAATAAATTGTAATGAAGAGCTTTCAGTAGTTATTGACATTTTTGTGAGGCCTAACTAAAGGTTCCTGGGGAATATGTGTAAAAATTGACAGTTGGTTTGACAGGACCTGAGCTGGAGAGAGTATCTAAAGAACGTTCCTAGGTACATTCAGGGGACCTACGTGAATTTGAGAGGGGTCAAGGGGGCCCTGCATACCTAGAGGAGTGAGTGTGTGGACATGTCAGCCTTGATCCATATTCTATGCAGGGAGCAGCAGGAATAGCAAATGCAGGCACCACTCACCAGGGTTTGCTCTCCTCAGATGATGTTCGGTGTGGGTCTGTATGAAGGAACTGGCCTGCAGGGGGCACTTCCCGTACACGTCTTTGAAGCCCTCCACAAGCTCTTTGGAGTGAGTTTTGAATGCTTTGCCTCGCCACTGAATTGCTATTTTAAACAGTACTGTTCGGCCTTCTTGGATACAGACGGGTATTTTGGATCCAGGGGGTGAGTCTTCTGTTCTGGTGCCCTTTGCCATGTGTCTGTGTGGGTGTGTGCACGTGTGCAGAGCAGTGATTCAGGACAGGCTGACGTGTTGGCAGCTCATGAGCAGAAGGATGTGTGCTTCAGGCCCACTGAAAGCCAGTGAGTGGACACAGATTGGCGGTGAAGCAACCAGCAGTGTGCCATTAGTCCAGCCAGAGCTGTCTCATCCTGACATGATGCAGTTTATAGGTCTGTCAGTGTTTGCCCTTGTTCTGAAGAAAGGAGGAACTAGGCCCTCAAGCAGTCAGCTTGCATCAGCAGTCAGCATCAGCCTTCAGTGACCACAGATGGAATGTGTCCCAGTGACCGTTTCTGCTCTGGAGAAAGCAGCAGGCCCTGTGCTGCTGAGAATTCAGTCCTTCTGAGCATGAGTGTCTTCTGCAAGGAAATGAATGTTTTTTAAGGTCCAAAAATCAGATGTCTAGCCTCCCTGATAGTGATCTTTGTCTTTTTCCTCTAGCCCGTGCCTGGATTTCTTCCCTATAAGTGGGTCTTTTGAGGCAAATCCTCCGTTCTGTGAGGAGCTGATGGATGCCATGGTCTCTCACTTTGAGGTATGTTCGCTCTCCTGTGTTGTTCTGAATGGAGCTGTATGATCATCTGCTCCCCACTGCTCTTATATGCTCATAACAAGGCTGTCATTCAAAAGTCGAGGGTTATCACTGCTGCTGTACTGCTCTGGAAGCAGAACTGTTTCCTTTTCATAGAAGGCAGTAGGTGTGCCATTGCTCAGCCAAGATTAAGATTGTTTTCTTTTTGAACTAGAAACTGCTGGAGAGCTCCAGTGAGCCCCTGTCCTTTATTGTCTTCATCCCTGAGTGGAGGGACCCTCCCACACCCGCACTGACCCGCATGGAGCAGAGCAAGTTCAAGAGGCACCAGCTCATCCTGTCAGCCTTCGATCACGAATATCGCAGCGGGTCTCAGCATGTCTGCAAAAAGTAGGTGCTCCCTTTGTGTCCTTCCAGGGTGCCTTTCTGATGAGCTGCCTTTTAGGGGAGCTGTGTGGCTGAGATATCTTATCCCGAGTGAGAATCGATGGAAGGAAGGGAAAAGGAAAGATTGTGCAGTGCGTAATTGTCCTGGGTTCTTAAGAGGTGTAGAATCCACAGTGTTGTGGATTTTCGCATTCATTTAATGACTGCTGAGATATTTCACTAATTAAAGGATTTGAGTAATGTATTTCTTGGGTACAAGTCCAGTATGAACTGTTTATCTCATGTCGTGCTGTGGTGATGCTCCGTGTCCCTCTGCCAACTCTGTCATTTGGAAAGCCACAGCTGAGCAGTGTTTCCTGGGCTGCCAAATGCCAGAGTGGCTCAGCAATTCAGTATTGCTCAGAAGGAGGCAGAAGGAAGGCACTCTCCTTCCTCTTTTCCACATAATAATGAGAGAAAAGGGCAGAGGAATACTTGTCCTAAAACCTACATGCAGGAAGAGGAGAGGCAGGTGGCAGGGAAGGAATTTGCCTGTAATAGTGTGACTTACTGGCAGGCGGGCTGCCGGGAGATGCTGAGTGCCTGCTGTCTTTCCTTGCAGGGAGGAGATGTACTACAAGGCTGTGCACAACACCGCCGTCCTCTTCCTGCAGAACAGCGCAGGCTTCGCCAAGTGGGAGCCCACGCCAGAGCGGCTGCAGGAACTCGTTGCGGCCTACAAGCATTCAGGCCGGACCCTCAGCTCCTCGTCGTCCTCCTCCTCCTCGTCCACCTCCTCCACAGACAAGGAGCGAGAGCTGGGCCGGGAGCAAAGCAGCAGCCGGGAGACCAATGCTAACTGAGGCGCAGAGGTGAGAGGCAGCAGGGGAGGTGCCGGCGGGCCCGAGGAGGCTTGCCGGGCAGGCGGAGAGACTGCTGGCTGTGCAGCACCGGCCCGGGGAACTCTTGCCCAGCAGCTCACGGCACCAGCCTTCCCCTGCAAACCGCACGCCGCCCGCGCCCAGCAGCGCCAGGAGCGCCCGGCTGCCGGCAGGGAGAGGAGCTGGGCCACGGCCTGGCTGGAGGGCCAGGGACCCACGTGTGGGCGGCAGGAGGAGCGGGCGGCCCCGTGGGTGCCCATATGTGGATGGAAGGAGCGGCCGGAGCTGGGACGCACGCTAAGGGCGGAAGGACAGCGAGAGGGACGGCCGGCACGAGGCTCAGTGCTCGGCGCTGTGGCTGGAAGGGCCCCAGCGGCGGCCGCAGCCCGGCACACGCAGGAGAAACGCGGGCAGAGCCCGGGGTCCTGCGGCCGGACTGGCACCAGCACCGCCATAGTGTCCATAGTGTAAATAGTTCTGTCTGTGTTCCTGAGCTCCCGGCAGGGCTGTGCCCGTCGCACCGCGTTCCCTTCCCACGTTGTGAGTCCCGTGTTGGCCGACGCTGTGTACCGTACCGGAGAGGAGCGGAGGAGAGAAATTCCTTTGGTGTGTAAAGACGTCTTTGCAGCTGTTTTGTAGTCATTGTGGTTTTTATGCAGAGCCTCTGGGTTGTATTTAACCTCCGTGGGTTTTGTTTTTTAAGGATTAATTTAACACCGCTAACCATTTTATTACTTTTATCAAGAAGAGCAAAGTCTATTTTTGATTTCTGTTTCCTAGTTCTTAGGAACATTAAAAACCAGCATTCAGCTCTGCCCCGTGTCAGTGCCTTTCCTCATCTGTTGGCCAGGGGCCTGCAGTCATCCCATCCTTCACCTCTGTCTGCCTCTGAATAGAAAAAAAATGGTTTTGGTTCTTAGTTTGGTTAACTGATACTTTGAATCTACATGGCACAACACTGGGAAGTTATGGAGGAAGTAGTATTTTACCCAGAATGGTAAAGTGATATTTTGCCTGGAATATGGAGTGATAGAAGGTATGCTGTCAAGAAAAGATACTGGTCATGAAAGCATGGGTAGCTTTGCTGGAATATTACTGAGATGCCTCATATCTTTGTATGCCTACAAAAAGGGCAGTGTGGGTTTTGTACAGAGTATAAAAAGCCTTAGGTCCTGGAGGAGGAGACTAATGCTGTAGAAAAGAGGAGAGGCTGAAAGACCTGAGTAAGGACAGCATAAGGAATTCCATGGTGACCTGCAGGGAAGCATTTGGAGGCAGCAGGATCAGGTAACAGCTGCGGGGATATGGATGGTGGTCTGTTAGTTAAAAAAGAGGATGAGGTTCTCCAGGGATGCTTCCCACTACGGTGAGGTAGCTGACCTCCTTCAGTGACACTCGGGGGGGACTGAAGAACTCCAGCAGCGAAGGGAGCAGCTTACAAAGCACTTTTCCCCTTCTCGTTATACTGAAGCAGGGCAGGCTGTTCCTGAAATGCAGCTGACCGCCGGCACACACTGATGCTTGAAAGTGTCATTACTGAAGGAGGAGGAGGGGGAGTCCTTTGTCTTTCTCCTCAGGTGGTGGCCAATTACCTCATTAAGTATTTAATTGCCGTGTCACGGTGGTCAAACGAGGGAGCTGCCCGTCGGTGCTGCAGCAGCCCGCGAGCTGCGGTGCTGCGCTCAGCCAAGAAGCCGAGCATCCGTCCACCCCTCCCCTCCCCCCGCTCCGCGTTGCCAGGCCAACGGCGCGGCGGATGCCGGCGGTCCCTGCGGCTGTGCCGGCCCGCAGCGCTTCCCTCGCCTCCCTATGGGACGGCCCACCCCCCGCCGCGTGTCCCCCAGGAGCCCCCGCAGGTACGGGAGGGAGCGGGAGGCGGGGGGGGGGGGGGGGCGTAGGGACGCGGCGCCGTGCCACGGGAACGCGGGGAGCTGTGTGCGATGGGGGTGAGCCGCACCGAGGACCCCGGGCTCCACGCCACGCGGTGCGGAGCGGCTCCCCGCCCTCGGGAAATCCCCTTTCCTCCGGCCCAGGCGCGGGGGCCGCAGAGCGGCTGAGCGGTGCCGGCGGCGGTGGGAACGGGGCTGAGCCGCGGCCGGGAAGGGGGCCGCCGCGGTGCGGGGACTCCGCGGGGCTGAGCCGGACGCTGCCCGCGGGCCGCAGCGCTGTGATCGGGAGCTTCCCGTCCCCAGGTCCCGTCCCCATGGCCCACGAGGACGAGGCGCGGGGCGGCCGTCAGCTCGCCGCCCAGGAGCCGGAGTGCCAGATCTGCTACAGCCGCTACGACGCCCGCGCCCGCCGACCCACGGTGCTCCTCTGCGGCCACCGCCTCTGCGCCCGATGCCTGCGCCGGATGGTGGCCCTGGGGGACGCGTCGCCCCGACGGCTCCGCTGCCCCTTCTGCCGCCGGCAGAGCCCGGTGCCCGGCGGGGACGCGCAACGGCCGCAGGACGACGGCGAAGGGCCGGCGCCGCCGACGCGCTGTGAGCGGGACCCCCCCTCGCCCCCCGAGGTCCTGCTGTCCCCCAGCGTGCTGCAGCCCTCGCCCGGCCCGGACTGCCTGGTGCTCACCATCCTGGAGGTGCCCGCGGGCGCGGTGCCCACGGAGGCGCTGGGCGCGCTGGAGGTGGTCCGGCTGCAGAGCCGGCGGAAGAGCCGCGCCCGGAGGTGCCGAGCCGCCCCGCGCTGCCTGCTGGGCACGCTGTGCCTGCTGTACTGCAGCTCCCTGCCCCTCGGCATCTACCTGCTGCTCAGCCAGCACCACGGCCTGGGCCTCGCGCTCGTCAGCCTCCTGCCCGCCGCCCTCCTGCTCTGCGTCTCCTGCAGCCTCTGCCAGTGCCTGTGCCGGGAGCTCTGCGCCTTCCCCTCACCCTGACCGCGCGGCCGAGCCCTGCGCCCGTGCTGGGGACACGTCGGAGCGCGTTGTCCTGGTGCTGAGCGCCAGCCGCGTGCAGCGCTGCCATCCTCTACTGCTTGCAGCCTGCGAGCGTTCAGCCGGGTCTCGGCTCCTTCTGCTCTGCAGATGAGGGCGGCTCGAGGCTCGGTGCTCACCTGGAGGGGCCCCAGCGGCGGCCGCAGCCCGGCACACGCAGGAGAAACGGGGGGTCCTGCGGCCGGACTGGCACCAGCTCCCCCATAGTGTAAATAGTTCTGTCTGTGTTCCTGAGCTCCCGGCAGGGCTGTGCCCGTCGCACCGCGTTCCCTTCCCACGTTGTGAGTCCCGTGTTGGCCGACGCTGTGTACCGTACCGGAGAGGAGCGGAGGAGAGAAATTCCTTTGGTGTGTAAAGACGTCTTTGCAGCTGTTTTGTAGTCATTGTGGTTTTTATGCAGAGCCTCTGGGTTGTATTTAACCTCCGTGGGTTTTGTTTTTTAAGGATTAATTTAACACCGCTAACCATTTTATTACTTTTATCAAGAAGAGCAAAGTCGATTTTTGATTTGTTTCCTGGTTTTCAGGAACATTAAAAACCAGCATTCAGCTCTGCCCCATACCCCTCACCTTCCACTTCCTGTGGCCCCCTCTCACTCCCCTGACCAAGACCTCCTGATGCCCTTCATTACCCTCTCCCTCCCATGTCCCTTCTGTGCACATCCCCATTTTCCCCTGCCCCCATCCCTCTGTGTCCCCGTCCTCCTGTTTGCCCCCATCACGCAGTGCTGTGTGCTCTCTGCACCACCTCAGCCCTGAGTGGTGGTGGCCCTGGGATGTGATGGATGAAGGGTGGGCACCAAAGCAGTTATTTCTGGTGTTGCTCTGGGGGCTTCATGGGGAGTGGGGGGATTGGTCGGGTTCTGGGCCCTACTCCTGCCCCAATGTCCCCTCTATCTCCCCACTCTCTTCAGGGTCAGGTGCCACCATTGCTGCCACGCTCCAGATCTTGGGTTTGTGCAGCTGCTCACCCTTCCCAGGACCTGTTACCCCTATGGGGCTGCTCCCACTCCTATTCTGCTGGGTGCTGGGGCTGGGGGGGGGCTGTGGCAGGGTCCCCTCGCTGTCCTCTGTGCCGCGTGTTGCCCAGCCTGCTCGGTTCTCCTTCTTGAGACGCCGGCGCGCGTTGGCAAACCAGGTGGAGACCTGCGTCAGGCTCATGTGGCTGAGCACAGCCAGCATCACTTTCTCACCCTTGCTGGGATAAGGATTGCGGGGGTGCCGGGCCAGCCAGGCCTTCAATGCTGCACTGCTCTCCCGTGCTGCTCCTGCCTTCACCCGCCCCGGCTCAGCAGGCAAGGGCTGTTGGCAGCACGGTGGGCACAGCCCCGTGGGCACCGCGCAGGGTGGAGGGACCTGCGGGCACAGAGGGGTTGGGGTTGGTGGGGGCTGCAGCTCCCCAGGCCGGGAGAAGTTCCCAGGCCCCCGAGAGCTGTTGGGCATCACTTACCATGGGCGTCAAGAGGCGGAGAGGGGGTGGCAGTAGGTGGTACCCGGGCAGCACGGGGCAGGCCAACAGGGTGGGCGGAGGGCCCTGTAGTGCTCCCCATGGTCCCCCGCAGCTCCTCAGCTCCTGGCTGGGGCTCCCCTTACCCTGAGGCATTGCCATGCTGCTGGAATGCAGCTGGGAGATGCTCCGGGGCTTTATATCGGGGTGGGGTCCGTGGTGGCGGGCGGCTGATTGGCGTATTAATGCCCTGGCAGTGCCCCTTAAAGCCACAGTGCTGATCTGGGACAGGGGTGCCCCCCTGATGGGCACTGCCAGACAGGGAGCAGCCCTGCTGGGATGGGAGCAGAACCACTGGGGTGGGAGCAGCAGTGTGCCAGGACCTGCACCCCTGACCTGCACATGGAGTGGGGGCACTTGGGGGCTGAGTGCCACCCCGTGAGTGGTGATGGGATGTGGCACACACAAGAGCACTGCATGCAGGAATGCAGCACACAGAACTTTACTGCAGTGCTGGGCCCTGTTGGACCCAATGTCAGCCCTGGAGCCCCTGGTGCAGTGTGGGGCAGTTCTCAGCCACTTGTGCTCTCCTGACCACCTGTGTTAGGAAGCAGTTGAGGCCATCCTGTCCTGGCCATGTCCAGGAAGCCACAACTGGATCCTCATCTGCAGAGGGGCCAAGGGGAGACAAGGGCCCCCGGGACCCCCTGTGCACTGCAGATCTGAGGCCTGGAGATGGGGGGCAGGCAGTGGTGTGGTCTCTGTGCCCCCCATTCATCTCCTGCCTGCACAGCACTGCCCAGAGCAGGATTATCCCCCAGGTTGTATCTGTCGTTAAATACCGACTAATAACGCTCTCAGGATATTAAATATGTAACAAACCCGCTTAGTGCTGGCCAGGGACGGGAAGGGGAAGGTCACCGGAGCTAATGAGCCCTGCAGCATCCCTGGGCTCACCCACAGCATCCCCAGGCTCCCTGCAGGCAGTGGCAGCCTCCAGCTGAGGCGCCCACCTGGGCGCTGTGGCCCCACACCCCCATAAGCAGCAGCCCAACGTCCCGCTGCCACCCACCCCATCCCATCCCCACCTCTATCTGCCCCATACACCAGAAATCATGGGGCTGCCAGGACTCCTGCATGCCAGGAGGGGAGAGTGGGGCAGTACAGCTGGGGAGGACAGGGCTGGATGGGACCAGACAGCTGGGGCAGACGGGACTGATCTGCAGCCCCATAACCTTGTCCCCGCAGGACTCTGCCAACCCCAATCAGTGCAGCGGCCGTGGAGCAGATCTGCTTTATTAGATAATGGGGCTGTAATCTAGGAAAGCGCTGGTTAACCCAGTGTGGCACAGCTGGACAGGGAGGGCCACCACCATGTGCACAGCTGAGGGACACAGCTGGAGCAGGAGCCTGGCACAGCCAGACGGGTACAGAGCAGTGCAGAGCAGCCAGCAGACGATGAGGCTGGCAGCCACCAATGGTCCTCATCCTGGCTGGGCAACGGGTTGCCCAGGGATTGTGGAGCAACAACAGACCTTGAGCACTGCCCAGAGCCCCTGCTAAGGTTCGAGCCCATGCGCTGTACTCATTCCCCCAGAGCTGTGCCAGGAGCCCAGCTCAGCCCAGCAGCACAGCCATCCCAGCCATGAGATGCTCCCTGGGTGGTTCCAGGTCTTCTTCCCCTCTAATCAGTTTAATGCAAGAGCACAGAACTAAAACTCTGAGATTAGCTGTTATAATCACATGTAAATACTTTCAGACAATCCGCTCAGGGAGGGGCAGTGTGTGTAGTTTGGGACAGAGTTACATGGGATTTAGGCTGTTTACCACTCGATTAATTTCATGCCTCCAGCCCACCCTGCTTCCAGCTGCACAGAAGTCAAGGTGACCGCACTGGAAGGAAGCCATAGCACAGAGCCCACATGCTGTGCAGCAGCAGGCAGGCCCGATCCCAGCCTCCAGGCAGCACACACCCAGCTTTCAATCTTTTTTTATTTCATAAGCATATTCAAAGCTTGAGAACATCAGAATCGAACCCCTCCCATAACAACTTACAAACCAACTTTGCCACAGTGTCCATCCCTCTTCCAAAGAGAAAAATAGAACTTCTTCCACCACCTACACGGCCTCTTCCTCTGTCAGATTCCTCCAGTCCAAAGCCCTACTGCCGCCCGCCCGCAGGCCGGAGGAGCCAAGGGAGGGAAGCTGCCCTCAGCCCGTGTGCCCCACGGGAGCAAGGAGTGGGGGCTGAGGCTGAACGACCTCAGCATCTCCCACTGCACCACGTGGCTGTGCTCGGCCCTACAGCTCCCCCGGGATCCCTGCACCCGAGCAGATGCTGAGTTTGGCCCGCACAGACATGATTCAGGGAAAAGGGATTTCAGACCGTCATCAAGTGCAACAGGCAGAGATGGGCCACACGAGTGCTGCCACTGCTCAGTGCAGTCTCTGCTCAAGACAGCCTCCTGTGCCAGGCAGGACTTGCAGGACCCTTGCTGTGCACAGCAGAGTTGCAGCACGCCCATGCTGGCATGCACTCAGGCACGTCCCTCATAGCCCCAAAGCAATAAGGCAATTGCTGGCTGTAGAGGCTCCTGCTGGCTGCCGCTGTCCTGCTCAGCACGGATGTCCCTGAGCATCAGCCAGGCCTGTCACCAGTGCTAATCTGCCAGCGTGATGACATCGTAGTGGATTCCCTGCTGCAACTGCTGGATCTGCTCAGCCGTTGCCTCCGTGGCAAACACGCTCTGTGCCTGAGCCATGGCAGCATCAGCCACTGCTGCAGAGAAGAAGTATCAGTGATGATGTGGGGCTCAGCAAAGATCTCCCCCCACAGACCGTCAGCTGCTTCCCAGAATTACAGGGACATGGGCTGTCAGGTGGGCGTCCAGCCCAGCCATTCTGCTGAGGACTGCAGCAGGGCAGCCCTACCAGCTGCAATGAGCGAGCAGCCTCTGCAGGCAGAGCTGGACTGAGGCACCATAGCAGCAGCTGCTAATGGGCATCAGCAACGCCCACCCAAGACTGGCATCCTGCAAGCAGCAGGAAGACAGAACTGCCAGAGTGTGGCCCTGACATACCTGAGACTGCTGAGTGTGCAGCTGCTTCCAGCTGAGCCTGGGTGACAAGCTGCTGCTCAGGTGAGACAGGCATGTACTGGATCTACAGGGAGGAGAGAATAAGGAGACTGCACAGGGTTCCTCCTGGTTGCTGCAATGAGTCCCTGCCCCCTTACCTGTGGCTCCTGGAGAAACTGGCTACCTTGTTCATACTGAATGTGAGTGATCTGACCATCCTGAACCTGAAGACAAGAGCTGCAGTAAGGCTGTGTTAGGGCCAGTAGGCTTCCCTGCCTCCCAAAGCTGTGACTCAAACAGAGCAAGCCATGGGGATGAGGAGGTGACCCCAACACACGGCACCCACACTGACCTCACCCACTGCACAAAAGAACAGTCAGCCTGAAGCTTACCTGGATGTGATGTCCTTCTGGGACAACAACGTACTCATGGGGAAGCAAGTGCTGTACGCCATCCTGGGCAATGATGTATTGAACCTGCAAACACAGGGATTCAGACCCAAAGAACTGTTCACCACCACCCACTCCCTGCTCTGCAAGAGGGCTGCTCTTTGTCTGGCTTCTGTGCACTTTTCCACCCCACTTCTCCCCAGGTCTCCCTGCTGTCCCTGCTTCAGCTGCGTGCAATCTTTCAGTTCCACGCATTCCTGGGATGTGTGCAATGCGCCCTCACCTGGTTGTC